GAACAACTTTTGCCTCAGGGCCATATCGGAATTCTTTACCAAATTGAAAATACAAAATAAATCTAAGAAATATTTGTTTTTTATTATTATTTTAATGTTTTTTGGCCCGGTCGGACAAGTGGTCCCGGGCCACTCTCGTAGCATAGGTTTGGGGGTTCAATTTGATTTTTTATTTTTTTATTTTTTTTTGGCCTGTTTTTGTTTTTTTGCCTGTTTTTGTTTTGGTTCAAGGTTATTGTGTGCCAAATTTGGTCTCAATTGGAGCATTGGAAATTCCTCTGCTGAGATTTCTGAAATTTCTAAAGATTTCTGAAATTTCTAAAGATTTCTGAAATTTCTAAGGATTTCTGAAATGCGAGGAATGAGCCTTGCGGAGCCCTTATCAAACATACAAGTGTTCTGGGCTGTCAGCCCCCCAGCAAGCCTCGTGCCCTCCCTAAGTGCAGGCGGGCCTGAATATCCATCCACGTGAGGCCTGTTCTCGGCAATTTTTCCATGTGTGGATACTCAAACAGTTGCAGCACGCCAGTTGGTTACAGCGCAACGTGAACCTCCAGGCTCTTTTTCCAGACGCAAAGTGCTGCGCTGTACAGTTGAGCCCAGGGCTCAGGCGGTTGCGCCCTGGGCACACGCTGTGCAAGGCCGACACATCCCGGCCTGGTTATGGGCCAATGAGGCAGCAGCATTGTCGTCACACATGTGCCGCGAGCCAATGAGAATGCTGCAACCAACCACTTGGAGGCTGGGAAACTGCCTGGACGTGCCTAGCTGGACGAAGCCCAGGTCCAGTTGGTTTCAGCAACTGGGCCTGGGCGCAGAAACTTGGGGCCCAACTGAAGCTACTGGGCCCCCACACGCCAGGCCAGGACAGCCAGCCAGCGACACACTTTCCATAAAGGAAAGTGTGAGCCGCTGGGAGAGGCATTGTGGCCTTAGCAGGCACCCCCGCATGGGCGCTGCTGGTCGGAAACGCGAACGGGCGCTGCAAGGGCAGCAGGTGCACAGCAGCCATAGCCGGGCTGCGGGGGCGCAAGGCAGGTGATGTCGAAGGTGGTCTTCGGGTAGGAGGCGCATGATGTGGGGAGACGAGGGGTGGCAACGAGAGCAGAGAGAATGTACCTGGTGTATGCTGGTGATCGGCATTGGTGTTGACGTCACGTACCTTGGTCTTTGACTTCAGCTTCAGAGTGATCCAGTTGAGAGAACGTAGATAGGCTAGAATAGGCTGCGTAGAATAGGCTGGGCGCTGGGCGCTGGGCGCCAGAAGGTAAGTGCAACATTGGATACTGTAACAGTGTTGGTGTGACCAGAGAGTGGCGACATTGACAGACATTCGAGTTCATTGTATTTGGACGGTATATAGTCTTGGTGCATTGCACTATCTGCTTGGTTTATGTCATGTCTATCTGAGCTACTTCGTGATTTTGCAACTTGGATTTCTGTTAATCGCTCTTGCTCATATTCCTTGCAGAAATTGCTAAAGATTTTTTTTGAAATTGGAATGTTGGCGAAATTTGCAGGAAAGTGCACTTTTGCCTTGTGCTGTTTTATTGACTTTTATAGTTTAGTTTTTTTTTTTTTGCAATTAGTTAGTGTGGTCGCTACTCTATGCATTCGTGGCAAGTTTGGTTTAAAAAATGACCCTTGGATTTTGTTATAAATATAAATGGCATTTACTAATTGCCTGAAAATTTAGGACTCCGTTAACCTGCTCTCGATGAGCAGCAAATACAGACACACACAGCTCGCTTGGTAGTTTGGCTCACATGCTATTTTAACGAATGCACCGACAATACCGACAACCAACGTCTCTACTTCTCTCCTCTCTCCATTATCCATGTTATGCCATCCAGATACAGAGCAATACGCAATTGCGTTTGATTCAATTGAAAAAAAAAAAAAAAAAAAAAAAAAAAAAAACTTAGATACACACAATGTGCACCGAAGCATACATCAGCAGCAAAACTGGCAGCCAGTAGGGATCCCTACTGTTCCGACAAGGGAGCAATCAATAGTACTACAGTAGGGATCCCTACGTGTAATCAGACCTTACCACGTGGCTTCAGAATTCTAATGAACCGCCAAAAACACAGACTGATAACACTGCTGATTTTTGGGACTTGCCGCTGGAATGAATGCCTTGCCGAGATTCCCGCATTCTGCTGTGGTTTCCAAGTCTGTGTGTGTGTGCGTGCCTGCTGGTTTGCATGCCTGTCTGAGTGCTTGTCGGCTGAGTGTGTGTGTGACCCGCAAGGGTACTTGTTGGTTGAAAGGCCCCGCAGGGCCGGTGCTTACCTGTGGCCGTGACTTTGAGGGTTGCAGCGGGGAAAACACTCAAGTAGCGGGGATAGGCCCGCGACACTTAGAGCAGCGGGGGAAAACACTCAAGTAGCAGGTAGGCCGGTACCACTCAAGTAGTGGTAGGAGTGTCGGGTACTGGAGGCCGAGCACAAGAAGACAAAAAGTTGGCATTTTTAGAGGCCCAGTAGCAGTAGGATAGAGGTAGGCCGGTACCAGTCCAAGTAGCCTGAGTCTAGGGCCTGTCCGGACGATAGCAGAGCCTGCAATGATGTTTCCCTCCGAAAGGGAGCAGGTACCGGTTGCTGGGAGGCCGCTGGGAGGCCGCTCAGTCTAGGAAGTCACCGCCCAAGAGGCCAGTAGGCCGCTATATCTTCCGGGGGAGCAAGTAGCTCCTCCTCATTTGCGGTATGCAAGGATTGGCGACACGCTGCTGAGCCAAGCGCTGGACTCGTACAGCGCTGCCTGGACACCATCTCCATCACCTTGTTGGGCGCTGCATCTGGAAGGCCCCAGTTGGGGTAGTGCYGCACCAAGGAAGCTCCAGGCAGAGTCAGGCATGGCGGCTTAGTCAGCAGCGGCATAGCTGCTTTGAGTTGTCCTTTGGACAGGAGTGCAGCGCCATAGCTGCTTTGTGTTGTCCTTAGCACAGAGATTGGCAGAGCCCTCAGTTATCCGCCATAGCCTAGGCTTGTGAGAAGTGGAAGAAGGGGGGAAGCCATAGCTATGGTGGACCTGCTGTTGTTGTTGTTGTTGTGTCAGCAGTAAGAGGGAACTTCGGAGATTGATTCTGGTTCATCCACTCATTGCTATTATTATTATTATTATTATTATTGGAAGAAAAATCAGATTGGCGAAGTGAAGGAGGAAGAGGAAGGTGGAGAGAGAAGGGGGATTTGTCATTGGTCTTGCTGGTGTACATCTTCTTCTTCTTCTTCTTCTTCTTCTTCTTCTTCTTCTTCTTTCTCTCTTCTTTGGTCTCTTATCTCTTTGCACGTGCTTTCATTTCTTTCGCAATTGGGTGGCATTGTCTTTCATTGTGAACTTGCACTTTGGGAATGACCAGGATCGTAACAGAATCGTCAAAGCTCATAAAGACTTCTTGTTGCTCTGCAGGCATCGTCAGGCAGCCAGCTACAGGCTGATAGGAACACACCAGGTATCTGGGTAGGGTGCTTTTTTTGGGCAAGGGGTAGGCAGTCTATCCTCCAGAAAAAAAAGGCTACCTACTCCTTACCCAAAAAAAAAACAGCCTACAATCCTCCTGAGTGGGAGCAAACGAATGGTGTTGGGTGGTCCCTCTGGCTGTAAGGGAGCCCGACAGGGTTTAAAAAAAAAAGGGGGATCCTCCTGAACATCTGATTAACGGATGGCTCTAACGACAGGGAGCATGCTTAAGCCATCCGTTAGTACAATCCGGTGGGAGCATGTGCCAGGGGAAAGCGAACCAGACAGAGAAAAAAAAGGAACCAGACACATGCTCCAGGTGGGCAGGCGGGGGGGAGGGGGGGAGGGGGGGGTTGTGAAGATAGTAGAAGTAAAGAAAAGGTGTACATACAGATAGATATTAATATCATATTACCATACAATATGAAGTTATGTGCTAATTAAATTACTAAACAAAAATGACTGAAAAATACGGATTCATCAATTCTATGGTTTGTGGTTCAGTCGAGTAGAGTAGATCTACTTTAATGAAACGCTACCGTATTCAGAAAAGTATATTCGTCCAGCTGCTAGTGAACAACAGCCGCATTCGGGAATACATCCCTCTCTCTCTCTCTCTCTCTCTCTCTCTCTCTCTCTCTCTCTCTCTCTCTCTCTCTCTCTCTCTCTCTCTCTCTC